CTTCTGTCTGTAATTCTTTCAATTTATCAACTTCAATGTTTTCTTTGAATTGTTCAGATTTTCCCGGGTTCCACTTATACTGTTTTTATTGTTTTCCTCACACGGTTGATTGGTTGAGCGAGTTTCTACCTTTAGGCTTCCGAGTTCAAATGTTATTGGACAATGAACATCAGAATATAAATTACAAAAATCATGAATGTAAAAGTGCATAGTGCTAGTGCATACCCAGTTTAACGGCCGTCATGACAATAAAAATCGAAATCATTGTTTTTTTCATGCAGTATAATTTTTACTGTAACGGCGAATATTATTTAATATATTCATTATATAAAATAATAACTATCATATATACTTGCATGTTAAAAATCCTAATTAAACAATATTCATCAAATCTAATTACTTTTAATTTAATTGATGTACTGAAGAAGAAAACGGGGGAAAACGGCCTAGTTTTTCAATCGCAAAAATAATCCCCAGGGTAGTCAACTCCTGCCAATCCTGGCAAGATTTTATTTGCAAGACCATTTTACAGATTACCAACACTCACAATCATTTAATAAGGTATTGCATCGTCCCTCTTATTCACCAAAAGTAAATACCAGGCACAGTAAAGACAACTTCTTTGCCCGTTTTCTATCATTCCACATTTGAGAAGTGAGCGGACCTAAAAAAATGTACCAATCAGATTCTTTGTTGGATTTCTCAATTGTACGTCAGTCATATTCAAGATTCATCATTGCATCACTATTTCGGTCGAAGTGTATACTTTCAAGCAAGATTAAAGATTTGGGATAATGTTCCGTGGTCTTAATGTACCTGTCACAGGAACTGTCAATTGCTTTATTCAAACTTAAGAAAAGATTGGGTTGTTAAAAAAAATAAAGGTATGGAACTCTTTTCATAGGGTCCCTCACTTTCAATAAATTATTTTTTAAATCAAATAATATAAAATTTCACTTTCTTTTCACATCTATTCACATATAAACAATCTACATCACTACCAAATTTCATTCCTAAATTCAGTATACTGCCCGAGATATGCTGAAATAAATACCAAAATTGACCCCTTTTACTCAACAGGTATTAAAATGTGAAAGCACTACTTTAGTTATTATCCGGGTTAATGTCACGAAGTCAATAACCATAGCAAATTTGACATGACCATATATGGAAGGTCAGGGAAACCTACGACTGGTAGGCAGTAAATCTAGTATAGTTGGATGCTGAAAGTCCCCTTCTAGTATAGTTGGATGCTGAAAGTCCCGTTCTAATTTATAAAGATTTCTCTCTACATACATGTACTTTCCAAGCACAATTCTTTTGAGTAACGATAAGGAGAAGCTCCCGAGGGAACTCGGACACGAAAACCAGGGGATTGAAATGCTTTTTGAAGTAGAATTTCAATCCAATGTTTTCTCGGACCTCCGCATCGAATCAATCCAGGACCTCAGAGAAAACATTCGTTTCAATTTAATATTTTCTCAGACGTCCGCATCTAATTAATCGCAGACGTCAGGGAAAACATTAAATTGAATCGACTGTTTTCTCAGACGTTCGGATTGAGTTTATTGTGGACGTCGGAGAAAACATTGGATTGAAATTCTTTCTTGCGGTTGAATTTCAATCCACGTTGGCTATTCTCTTAGGCAAACATTTGACATTTAAGGACAAGGGAGATGGCATTTTTGGAAATGAATAACCCGTCCAAGAAAATATGAATACAGTGGCGCCGCGTTTATCCGGACGCCATTTATCCGGACGCTTCACCTTCCGGACGATATTTTTTGGGAACCGATTTTTTCCACGTCATTTTGTCTCATTATTCCGGAAATTCGCGTTCCTCATCCGGACGGTCGATTTCTACTACAAAACGTAATAGTTCATTGAAAAATGACTCTTTTATCCGGACGGTAATTTTTCAAGAGACAACTTTTTCACACTTATTTTGTGTTAATTGTTTTAAAAACAATAGCCATGCAGTCAGTTTGAAGGCGGTTACCTGTGACCTACAAACAATAGCGTCTATTATTAGCGAGTGTTTACCCCAATTAAATCACAGGTCAATTATGAAACTCTAAGAATTTAGCTTACACTGTGCATTAATTAAATAATAATACGTTCAAAATCATATTGCTAACCCTATATACATCTGTAAATTCATGAGAATTTTGGAGAGTTGTAAATAAAATGAACAATAAATTCGAGTGATTTCGTAATGGTCTTAGTCATGTTAATTGCAATAGTATAAAATACGATTTTCTATTTCTAAAAACGTAAATGTCTTTGAAACTCTTTTTTCCCACGAAATAGTTTAAAAAGGTAGTACTACATAATTGAAGAAATATCTTACGTTTCTATTTAATTAAAACTGAAGTTGATTACGTTGTTCAAGGTATTTTTTATGGTCGACATTCAAACTTAAAGAGTCTGTAGAAAAAAATATTGATAATCATGAAGATATCTTGTGTTTACATTGAATTCTTACAATACTTTCACTGATTGCGCGTATTTGAGTTAGCTTGCAGTGTTCAGTTACTATAGTAGTCCTGTGTAATGAATATACGGGGAATATACGGGTTAGTTTATATTTTGAACATTTTCAATGATGATGCTGAGCAGTTCTGTCATATATGAGCTTCAGTAATTATAAAATATGGCGGAATAAAACAACAGTAGACCAAAATTTGCTCAACCCATGAAGTCACATGCCAAAGAGAAGGCGAATAAAATTCCCTGCGTTAAAAAGGAGATCTCAGCATAAAATTGCCTATTAATTTTTTTATTGTGTAAATTACATTTTAATATATTTTTTCTTTAATTAATTACTTCTTTTAAAACTATAAAATAAAATAAAAGAAAAACAAAATATTAAAGATTCATGATTCATTTATCCGGACGATTTGGTTAGGGACAGAGGCGTCCCAATAAACGAGGCGCCACTGTACTCTGTTCTCCAAAGGCAATAAAATAAGTAATCTGACATTGATTTATGGGCCCTCAGTCATCTGATCTGTGAGTTCCTGTAGGAAATTCCAACTCTTTGCTAGCAAAGATGAGAAATCGAGTTCAAGAGTCCTTGTTTTGTTTAAACGATAAAATGTGTTCCTGGACATCTCAAAATAATAATAATAATAACTAGATACTCGTTGCGAGCAACGAGAGGTCTTCCGTCCGAATAACCATCATTAACTGTGATATTCTTTGCATGTAAAATTACATTATATCTGCTCGTTGTAAAGACACCTAAAAATTTAACATACGTCTTTCAAAAAGATTTTTTATTTATAAAAAAAAAAGATAAAAACAGCACAGAATTCACAAAGGGGAAAAAAAGTTCAACATCATTGATAAAGATGAAAACGTAAATTTAAGCAAAAAATTCAGATATAGTCGGGAATAAACCAAGATCGGCTGGCTGAAAAGAGCTAGGTTCACTTTATGCATAAAATGGCCCTGTAGATATACCAATTTATTGACTAACACTTTATGTTCCATTTTAAACATCAAGATAAAGTAGAGACTTAGTGTTTTCATTTCCTATTAAAAATTTTCTCCTTATAGCCAAGGTCTTGGAAAACAGGGCTCATGAAATTGCAATGTTCTTGAATTTTAAGGAAAACAAGAATATTTGAGTACTTTCACAGAAGAGAAATAATATGAGCACACCCTCAGAACTAAAAAATAAAACAGGTTTTGTAATCCTCAGAAATAGTTCTATCATTTTATATGACTTTACATGAACTTTTAGAATTTAAAAATGTCTTCTCTCAGAGCGGAGGATCGTCCACGCCTTGCACCCTTTCATTCTTTTCAGCTGTACTAGATTTACCGCCTACCTATCGTAGGTTTCCGTGACCTTCTATATATGGTCATGTTAAAATTCGACAAACATGTTGACTTGACACTTGAAGATTTGTGTCTTGTTAGATGTCATTTTTATAGTACGAATGTGTAAAATACGAACTCACGAACGGGAACATATCAAATACGAACTGATTGATGTTGACATTTTCAGAATAACTTATTCATAATAAGTTAAATCAAGGTTTTAGATACGAGATCTAAAGAATAAAAAGGAAACGTCAAGAATACTCCATACTGGTTTCGAGACAAAAGTTTCAGATCAACAAATTACATATTTAAAAAAAAAACAACAGATAAACAACTTTCAATGTAGCAAATTGTGAATTTACATGACTGGATTTTTTAAGACCATTACCCTCCATTCAGTTTTTAGTCCCTTTCCGTCACACTAAAAACACTCAAGTGCTTGCAAATTGGTCACATTCAAAAGAAAACAGAATATTTACCTACATTGATTCGTGTTGAAGGTGTAAAACCTTTCCGTTTGAATGAAACCTTTAGAGATATTTTTTTTTTTTATCTAAGGGCTTGTTTCTAGAACAAGAATTCTCGCAATATTCGAAGATACACATGCACACTTATCTTACTAACCAACCCGCGGGTCTTGCCAAGAAAGTGCTTTTATATATTCAAGAGAAAGAGAGAGAGAGAGAGATGTAACCCATCTGTTTCGTAATTTTGAAGGATATATTCAGCGCGGACGTCCGAGAAAACATCAGATTGATAGAAGATGGGCGAACAATGCGAGCGAATTGCCTACTGTGCTACAAATAATTGAAAAATTAAATCTCAATTATACTACACTTTTCTTTGATATTTCACTCAACATAAATGTTATAACTTATATTCTGTGTATAATCTCTACAATTATTTAGTCATTTTGTTTGGAGATATGATGTTATTCGTCTATGAAATACACACACACTTAATAAATTATACATATGTATTACGATGTTTAGTTACATTTTGCCTTATAAGACTTTGCGTTGAAGTTGAGTTGTGGTTGTATTTAATTCAGGTTAGGGTCCCTAGGCTATGGTTATTAGAAGTTCAATAAGAGATATAAAACTGTACCTACAATATACAAAAGCTTGAAATAAATCTAAAATATACATATTTTATAGATAGAAGAGAAAATGGATTTCAGTGATTCAGACAGGGCTTCTGATGAAGGTAATATCAATTAAATCAGAATGTACTTCTGAAGTAATAAATGAATAAGATATGAGTGATTTCAATACAGTAAAATA